GTACACTTTCGAAGAGCAGATAGACTACTGTAGCTCGAAACGGCCGGCAACTAACTCCCGAGATCTTTGTCACACTGCGGTGTTTAATTCTTATCCTGGCGGGGGAGTAAAAAAAGAAAAAGGGAAAACAAGAGACAGACCTGTCATAGGGCTGGTTTTGGTTTCTCTTGTTTGGTTTCTGTTTCTTCTCTCCATTAACACAAAAAGTTGTTGTTGGTCCCTTTATCTCTTGGAGGTTCTATTTCTGCAACCCGAACTACACCACGTATCTGCACCGCATATCTCTCTCTCCATCTTGGCTTGCTCCGCCTGCTGCCCCCCTCGTCTTGTCCTGCCCGTCTCGTCAGTCTTCGCTCCTCATCTCGCTTCGCGTTGTTCCTTGTCCGTTGCCCAACGAGTAGGAACGCGACTCTTGACCGTCCTCTTACATAAATCACCTCATAAGTGTTCTGCTGTACAGTATACACTACACCGACAAGCCGTCGCCTTCCCCCCCTTTCACCACACTCATGCACAAGAAAACCATGGACATCCGCACCATCGACAGGGAAGAGAACCGCCGGAGGATGAAGAATGGCGAGCTTTACCATGCCTTCACCCCGGATCTCATTGCGGATCGGAAACGCTGCCAGGCTGCCTGCACCAGGTTCAACAACGCCGGTGACGTGAGCCGCCGCACGCTTGTCGGCATGTGGAAGGAGTGAGTAGTTCCGCCTCCATTTTATTCTATTTCTCTCGGCAACCCTGAAGCCAACCCCTCGGCTCTTCTTTCCCGTCTTGAGATGCAGACCTAACCCAGAACAGCATCAACGGGGACACAATCCCTCTCCCTCCACCGCGGGCCCGCCGTGACGAGGACGACGCCATCTTGGAAGACTGGCCGTGGGTTGACGCCCCGATAAAGATGGACTACGGCTACAACGTAAAGTACGCATCTGGCCCCTCGCAACCTGTCTCGTGTCTCGTCTCACCGTCCGTAGATTCGGTCAAAACGTCTATGTCAACTCTAACAGTACATGGATCGACACCTGTACCATCACAGTCGGTTCGCGTACCCTGATTGGCCCTAACTGCTCTTTCTACAGCGGCACACATCCGCTCGATCCCACGCTCCGCAACGGCACTCGCGGGCCGGAGAGCGGGAAGCCCATCACCATCGGCGACGATTGCTGGATCGGTGGGAATGTTATCGTGCTGCCAGGCGTGACCATCGGAAAGGGTGTGACCGTCGGGGCGGGAAGCGTCGTGACCAAGGACGTGCCGGAACATGTCGTCGTCGTTGGCAACCCGGCGCGTGTCGTTAAGGAGATTACGCCGTCGCAGCCGACGAACGGTGCGGTAAATGGGTTATCGGCCACCATCAATTATAGCGCTACTATGTAGTCTTAATGCCTTTACGCGTTTGTTCAACATATCTGTTCGTGTGCGTATGCATGTTTTGTTCAGAGTCCGCCCTGAATGGAGAAGGACGAGATGATGAGGACGAGGACGTTGATAACGCCCCAGAGAAGGGGAACCCATGTGGACATCGAGAAGTAGCCGGCGTTGTAGACCGCACCGAGACTGTAAAGCCGTGGGTTAGCTACGTTGTGTCGTCGACGGAACTTTGCATGCACTTACATCAACCCGACGACGCTCCCGGCACACAACGCCTGCACGCCCGCCACGAAGGCATAGAACAACGGCACCGCCCATAGATAGGTCAGCGATCCGCGCTTGTTCGTGTGCATCGCGATCGTAATGGCGGCGGCGCCCATGTGCACCGCGGCGTAGATGATGAAGGTCCATATCACCGTGAAGCGCCAGATGTCGCGGATGTAGAAGAGGCTCCAGCGGTGGTCGTCCGTGAGGTCCCGCAGCTGCCAGTTGATGCTCGGAAACGACGGAACCTTGTAGTTCGTCGGCGGGTAGTTTTGCGCGCGAGAAGACATTGCTATAGGGCGGCCCTGAGGCTCGACGGGAGAGGAGACGATATGTTGAAAGTCGGTGGGTTTGGTGAGCTTTGGAGGCGCAGTGATTGCAGCTGCTGATCGTCACTACCGGGGTTGGGTGTGGGATGTTGCAGGGATGGCGCAGCTTTGGGGGAAGCTTGAGGTGTGGCTTTAGGGGCAGTTCAGGTGCCTCGGCAAAAACGCCCGCGCCAGTCCCGACGTCCTGCCATCGGCATCGGCACCGTTGATTACAACCACCGCGACCCAACAACGGCCGCTTTCGCTGCTCCTACCATTCAATACCATCGCGACATTCGCCCCAGCCTCTGGTGAGCCGACGCGATCGCAGCCCACGATGCCGGCCGACAGACTCCTCAACACGGTCCTGCAACTTTACCAAAACGTCCACGATGACCGCAAGACGGATCAGATAGTCGGCTCCACGACGACCCTCCTGACGACACTCTCGAATCCGCTGAACCTCGGCGTCCTTACCTCTCAACTTCTCACCGCGCCTGCGATTTGGCAACGTCACGATGGCCTGCGGACGAGCTTGCGAATCATCAGCATCTACAACAGCGCCGCGATACGAGTGCGACAGAACGAGATTGATAACGTCAAAAATGCCCATGGCCCGCGGCAGGGCGGAGGCCTCGGCTGCGACACATGGGTGCGCGCCGTTGCCAAGGGCGCGGACGATCGGTCCAATCGATGGCAGCATCTCCTGGTTCTGACAGGCGTCTTGATGGGCATGGAGGCGAATGATAGACAATCTCTATCGAGAGGCTTGCGGAATACGCTAGAGGAAGCCGTTGTCACGGCTGCAAACCTCGCTTTGGAACGTCAGGACGGGCCGTTCGCCTCGGCCTCAGTCGTTCTGGCGCTCAACTACGTCTTTCCGTTTCTGTCCGACTTTCACCAGAGCGTGATTAATTGCAACGCGCTCCTACCGATCGCGGTGTTGGCCATCACCGGGGATGACGGCTTTCAGGACGGCCGGTTCTTGGATGATATCCGCCGGGACGTGAAGCAGTACGGACAAATGGTCGCGTGGCCTCCCACCTCCCCGTCATTTGCGCTGCTGCAGACCATCGAGGGCAAACCCCTGATGGGCGGCATGGGACCGTTGTCCAAGCTGGCAGGTTTCGCTGCCACCAATGCGACTGACTCAGCAATCGTGCTCGACGCTCAGGATGCTTTGATGGAATTCACACAAAAGATACTGCGGTACTGGCAGCACAACCCGCTATCAACGGTTGACGGCGCCGAAGAGACGGCGCGGTTGGAGCAGAACACGCTGGAGGCGACGTGGCCGGCTTTGTGGCAGTTGCTGAAGAAGACGATGTATGCGACTGTTGCCGTCATGCAAGCCATCGTCGGCCGGAGTCTTCTTGACCCGCGCATGAGGAACGATGCGATCGCCCCGCAAGTGGCCACCAAAGCGTTGTTCACCCTGAGGAACTTATTCTTCATCTCTTCACGACAAGGAGCCAACGCATTCCAGGCTTACCAGTTCACCTACCTGACAAGTTTGGATATCCTCGCACGCTTCCCAGACGCGTGCGTTGCGTTCTTGGAAGAGACCAAGCCGCCCCATGCTGGGACGGTTCCTCCCAGCTTCTATGACAGGACTCTAGATCTTTTCTACCTGAACGTGGCGGAGCACCTGCCTCTCAACATGCCCACAGAGGCGTGTGACGCTTTGATTGTTCGCCCGGCGACGGCCTACCTCACCCACACCGGCGGCCTGACGTCCACAATGGTAGAGCTTTTCGAATCCGCCCATAGCGCTACGCTGTCTGTGCTGTCTTGTCCTCACAACAGCCCGCTGACGGTCGGTCTCGTTCCCTTTTACGTCGACGCCCTATTCGCATCCTTCCCGGCGCAGATCTCAACACGCCAGTTCCGTGTGGCCTTCAAGACGGTCATGCAGATCGTCTCCCCGCCATTCCCGATCTCTCTCGCCGAGCCGCAGCTTTCCGAAACCCTCCTCGAGATGGTCCGCTTCAAGGCCATGGATGCGGACACCGCTCCGCTCCCCCTGACCCAGGACGTCATCAACCAGGCCGAGAAGGGGCTTTCGCCTCAAGAGCCCATGTCAGAACAGAGCTCGCTTGTTCTGACGCTCATCGACTCGTTGCCATTCCTGCCCCTGCCTCTTGTCGAGGACTGGTTGACGTTGACAGCGCAGTCGATGAATGAGATTGCCGATCCCGTCCTGCGCCAGCCTGTCAAGGACCGCTTCTGGGAGGTGCTTGTCAGCGGCGAGATGGACGTGGAGAGGGCGACTATTGGCGTCGCGTGGTGGACAACAAAGGGGGGACGTAGGTTGGTCCTGGGTGAGCAGCTGGCCCCTGTGATGAGCGGTGCGATAATGGATGAAGGGAGGTCCAGTAGACTATAAGACGAGGAGAGTGGTGGTCGCTGTATGGGTTATGATGGTAATATGTAAGCGTTCTATCTTCCTTGGGTACTTTTAGGTGCATGGTTATATCCAACACGGTTTGATGCATGCAGATTATGGACCTTGCCTTTCTCCCAGCCCGTCATATTGAAGTCAGGTGGTGATTCCGTAGTAATCCCTCAGCTTCTTGCGAAAGGATTAAGTCAGGTTCAACCAGCCCGTGGGCAATGTCCATGTACCCTCTACGGGCACTTTCACCTGTGCCTTCTCGCGATTGCGGAGAGCACTGTAAAGACCCTGCTTTTCTGGACTTGGCAGTCACAAGCACTGTGCACGGCCAGAGGTCTCAAAGTATGGCGCAGGTGCGTCCAACAATCGGTATGAGGGACTTGGCAGCTTATTCCACCCTGATTCGCCCGGGACGCAATCCTCAGCCGCACAAGGCTGGTGGCAAGATAAGGGCCCCCCTCCTTTCCTGTAACCATTGTTCTAGCGAGGTGATGGCATTGGTCTTCATTTTTCTTTTCCGCCTCTAGGAACCAGTATGTCAATCCAGAGTCTATGCCCGCCCCTTCCTGTGCTCCGAACGTCTGACTGTGTCGCAGACTTCTCATATCGCTGAATGGTCGGTCGAACGTTCGAGCATAAGCCTGACTGGCCGAAAGATGGCACAGCAACGGGGTCACGATGATTACAAGGTGGCATGGATCTGTCCGCTGGAGGTCGAACAAATCGCTGCGCTGGAGATGCTGGATGAAGAACATCCTGCTCTCCCCAAGTCCCCAGCAGACCACAATGTGTACAGTCTGGGGGCCGTCAATGGACACAATATCGTCATCGCCGGCTTATACCAACCTGGAAACTGTTCCGCGGCTACGGTCGTAGCACAGATGAGGATGACGTTTCCTAATCTTAGGTTCTGTCTTTTGGTGGGCATCGGCGGTGGGGTTCCAGTCGAAACAGACAACGGGATGATTCGCCTAGGTCATGTTGTGGTCAGCAAGCCTGCGGCTGGCCATTCTGGCGCTCTGCAGTATGATCATGGGAAAGCGAGGGATGGCCATTTCCAGCGCATAGGAGCCCTAGCACCGCTGCTGGCAGTCCTTCTCAATGCTGCACAGGACCTGGAAGCAAAACGAGCAAGACTGCATATTGACCTAGTGTAGCAAAACGTCAGCCGGATTGACATAAGGCGTTGTGGCCTGCGATGGTTCCAGTATCCCGGTATGATGAACGATTATCTCTTCCTATCACACTACACCTATATTACATAGGGAGCGCCCTGTGCAGTCGCATGCGACCCATTGAAGCGTATATCTAGAGCGAGTGACGATGACGAGACGTATGTAATAGTTCATAGAGGCAATATTGCATCTGGGGAGTTGGTGGTGAAGGATGCAAGGCTAAGAGACGCGCTCGCTCAACAACATGAGCTTTTGTGCTTTGAGAAGGAGGGCGTGGGGGCTATTGCTGACTTCCCTTGTCTTATTGTCTGCGGAATCTCTGATTACTGCGATTTGCATAAGAACGATAAGTGGCATGGGTATGCGGCCGCTACGGCAGCTGCATATGCTCGGCAGCTATTCTTTCACTTGCCGGTAGATGAAGTGCAGCGGTGAGAACATTTCCCTTATGATTTAATTGCTCGCTGGCCTTTAGGTATTAATCATAACCTACGCAGACAACCCACCATTGGAGCCCACCCATACAGTCTCTCATTCGTGTTGCAAGGAGTCAACAGCGTGAACAACTTTGTCGCCAGGCAAGCAGAGCTTGGACGCTTATACGAGGCGTTGAAGTGGACTGAGGATCGCCGGGTCGTTGTTCTGCATGGTCTGGGCGGCATGGGGAAGACCCAGACGACGATAGCGTACGCGAAAAAATATCGACATGATTACTCGGCTGTGATATGGCTTGACGCAAGCGACGCCATGGCGCTGAAGCAGAGTTACCAACGAGTGGCCCGGCAAATTGCAAGCGAGGTTTCGTCCATCGTATACATCCATGACGCTGTTAATAGTCTAGACCTCGATGAGATGGTGGTGGCAGTCAAGCGATGGTTGGACGAGCGAGAGAACAATCGCTGGCTGGTGATCTACGACAACTATGACGACGTTGACTTTGGTACACGAGATAATTCGGAACAGACTACTCAACATATTGCAACGGAAGACAAGGATGATGACGGCGGGACAGCTTCGAAAGCATACGACATACGCCCTTATTTTCCGAACACCGAACACGGCGCCATTTTCATCACGACAAGATCATCGTCCGTAGGCCGCCTCGGACGCAGTATCCAGCTTGAAAAGCTAAGCGACATCCAGGACTCTCTGAAAATACTGGCATCAACCTGCGGGCCCGTCGATTTAGCCGATGGTAAGTCTACAAACGCTCCATCGCTCTACTTGGACTAAGAGAAACGGCAGATCCTGGCGCCAGGCTACTTGCACAAAAGCTCGATGGTCTTCCACTCGCACTCGCAACAGCCGGGGCTTACCTGAACCAAGCCTCAATCAGCTGCACGGAATATGTCCGAGAAGACATGGTTACGACTACACGAAGAGAGTCAACGCTTATTAGAATACGATCGAGCATTATATTCTACGTGGAATGTCACTCTCCGACATATTCAGCTGCAGAATCAACAAGCCGCTGAACTCTTTCGACTGTGGGCATACTTCGATAATCATGATCTATGGTTCGAACTGCTACATGCAGGAGGTCAAAACAAGGAGCCAATTTGGCTTCATGGATTGACGGAAGACAAGCTTAGTTTTGCCGCAGCAATGAGAGTTATCTGCGCATACGGACTAGCAGAACCATATGCACATGGCCACGAAGGCTTAGCATCAGAATCGAGAGGATATAGTATGCACACGTGTGTTCATGCATGGACGGCACATGTTCTCAACGCAATATCAAGCCCAGAGCTGGCAAACGTAGCAATACGATGTATAACATCGCACGCTCATCGTCGCACTGAAGCCGAGTTTTGGCTAGTGCAAAGACGACTCTTGCCACATGTCGACCGATTAATAGCGACAATCGATAGAGACGTCGAATTTAGACCGTCGGTGTGCAGTATATTTGGCAAGCTCTACCGGGATCAAGGCCGACTTGTAGAAGCTGAGTCAATGCTCGAACAGGCTCTTCGAGGCCTCGAGAAGACTCCAAGACCAGACCAAGTATTACGAGTCTCAGAGGTCTTTCACAGTCTTGGCGAGCTCTACTCTGATCAAGATCGATTGGACGATGCAAATACCATGTATGAACGAGCTCTCCAAGGCCTTGAGAAGGCAGTTGGTCTACACCACAAGGACACACTTGCGATCATTAATAGTCTGGGGCTTTTGTACTCCAAACGAGGGCAGCAAGAGGTTGCACAGGCCATGCTCGAACGAGCTGTACAAGGCATTGAGAAATTAAAAGGGCCAGACCACCCACACACACTTACGGCTATCTATAATTTAGGCGTTATCTACGCCCGAAGAGGCCAGCTAGAGGATGCCAAGATAATGTATGAACGGGCTTCCGAAGGCCGTAAGAAGCTATTGGGGCCAGATCACCCGGAGACATTGTCGCCGATCCACAGTATGGGCTTACTCTACCATTAAAGAGGTCGACTGGAGGATGCCAAGATAATGTACGAACGGGCCCTCCAAGGCTTCCAGAAGGCACTTGTGCCAGGCCACCGGAATATACTCATGGCCACGTCTTATTTAGCCGACATCTTCAAAGATCAAGGCCAACTTGAAAACGCTATGATGATGTGCGAACGTATTCTTCAAGCATACGACACGATGCTAGAGCCAAGTGTCTTAGAATTCTTGGTTCCGGCTTTGAATAGGCTCCAAACTCTCGCCTGCTTATTCGAAGAGCAGGGCGAAGCATTCAAAGCCATTTCATGTTACCAACAGGCCCAAAACGGGTTCTTGAATGTATTTGGACCAGATGACGAACGATACGCCTGTATATGTGGTCAGATTAGCTCCTCGCGGTCTTCAATGGAGGAGCTAATCATTACCCCTGGTGCAGCTCAGGCAGAATGCCGGGAGATCGACCGATAGGCAAAAGGTTGAGCCCTGGAGAACAGATAGATGGAGTAAAATCAACGGACCACAGAAGCGTGTGTTGATTGAGTGATGTATATCACTCATGGTGATTATCAAGACGATTGAAGAGTATGAATCCGCCGAGCAGGGTCCTCGATAGGCCTCTTGCTACAGACTCCGATTCGTCATCGACGAGTAACGAAACACAGTGCGTTGTTGTACGCAAAGACAAATCACAGTTGTAAAAGGATGAATCACTTTTGGTCAGGTTAATAACGCTTTCTTGGGTGCTCGAAGGTCCCGGAATATATCTACTACAGCTTCACACCAAACGTTGTTACATTAGAATGCTTGGTTGCCACAATGACTAGCATCTTCTTACCCTCCCACTAGTTTTCATCCGTAGTCGTCATCCCGATGAATCCATGGCATGCGAAAAGTTAGAGACTTACCATGCCCGCGATGGTTTTTGTATATCAGCGAGATCGGCACAGGTACGTGTAGGCAAATCACATCTGGCGTTGAAGACACACCCACACATCACTGCTAACAGTCAAATGGTAAACTTCTTGGTCATTACGTTGTATTAAACTCGCTGGGCCAAGCTAATAAGACGAAAAATCTCACAATGCGGAGAAGACATTACAAAATCTGAAGGCTTAGTAGTCATCGTTGCCGTACCCCTTGGCCTCTCTCTTCTCCTGTCCCTTGCTCTCGAGCTTGTCGCTGTTGAGGAGGTTGCCCGCCTTCTCGAGCACCTTGCCGAGCTTGCTGTCGCCGCCCTTGTTGCTGCTGCCGTAGCTGTCGTCATTGTCACGACGAGAAGAACCGTAGCTGTCGTCGTTGTCGTTGCGGCTGGACCCGTAAGAGTCGTTGCCGCCGACACGACCTGACGATCCATAGGAGTCGTCGTTGCGGCCCGTGGAGCCGTAGGAGTCGGAGGTGTTGTTGTTGCGGCCGGAGCCGTATGAGTCTGTGTTGGAAGACCCGAAGGAAGAGTCGTTGTTCTTGCGGCCCGAGGAGCCGTAGCTGTCGTTGTTGCTGTCGTTGTCGTAGGTGCGGCCCTTGTTCTCGGAGGCGTTGTAGGAGAGGGAGTCGGCGCCGGCGAGGTTGGAGGAGGTTGACTCGCCAAAGGCGGAGCTCTTCACGTTTGAAGAGCCGTAGGAGTCGTTGTCCTTGCGGGAGGAGCCATAGCTGTCATCATTGCGGGATGAACCGTAAGAGTCGTTGTTGGAAGAGCCGTAAGAGGACTCGTTGTTCTTGCGGCCGGACGAACCATAGCTGTCGTCGTTGTCGCGACGGGATGAGCCGTAGCTGTCATCATTGCGAGATGAGCCGTAGGAGTCGTTGTTGGAGGATCCGTAAGAAGAGTCATTGTTGCGGCCGGATGAGCCGTACGAGTCGTCGTTATCACGGCGGGAGGAGCCGTAAGAGTCGTTGTCGTTGCGAGAGGAGCCTAAGCCGGAGCCGGTGTTGGAGCCGTAGCTGTCCTCGTTCCTGCTGGAACCGTAAGACTGGAGATGTGTTAGTGGCGTGTAACTTGTAATATAAAGCTGAGGTTGAACCCACGTCGTCGTTTCCACCGTAAGACATGATTGCTATGTTTTTGTTTGGAGGAAGGGAGTGATTGTAGATTGGTTCAGATGATTATGAGATGATTGGGACGTATACCCAACAGATGAGGGGCTTCGAAGGGGTATTTAACGGCCATGACACCTGCAGCATGATGCCAGCGACAACGGTCTCACTCTCACATGTGCGCTTGGCAGGAACCTGGACCCTCCCGATCGACAAGGCGGTGGCCCATCGGACGTGTGTGTATGGGGGCCGCTAGGAAACGCATGTTTACGACATTTCTGGGAGGCCCTACGTGCTCGGGGAATGATGGGATGGATGGGACGTTGAAGCTTGATTTGGGGAGGTCACTGCCTTGCCTAGCTGAACCTGTTGGAGGTACAGAAGCAGGTTCGTGATACGCGCCACTTGGCAAGCGCGATTTAGGATGAGGAGAGCTTGTTTGGGGAAGCCCTAGGCTCTTCTCGGTCTGGTCTGGCGAAGCACATCCGATAGTGTAATTGTCCTGTGCAGCTCAGCTTGTTATGGGAGGGGGGGCAAGCAGGGACATGAGAGCTGACGATGGGGAACCACAGACTGGGACCCTGATCGGCGGGAATAATGAAGACTCGGAAGGACGGAATGCGTTCCCAGCTTGCCGTCGGGGGCCCCTCGGCGACATGTCAGACGTGCGGCATACTCAATTGCCAGAGGAAAACAAGGCAGCGCGTCTTCCTATCATTGATTAGAGATATTGCAGAATTGAGGGCGACACCAGCGCGGGTGTCGTGACGGACTGACGTCCGATCCACCCACATGGCGTCATACCGGAGACCATTGCGCAGGCCTCCCCGAGATGGTGGGATGGAGAACTGGTTGGACGCTGTCCAGGTGCCAGTCCAGGTGGTGGAGGGATATGTCATTGCGGCAGAGACAGCCAAGAGCTGAGGTTCTGGGACCGAGTGCCCGCACTAAGGCAAAGGCCGCATGTTTTAGTGAACGTCGTTGCCGTTTACCCCGCCATCAAGAGGAAGAGACGGAGGGAGCGTTTTCCCTGGGAGCTGGCAGATTTCTCGCGAATCGTTGGTCCCACGTTCTTGGGTCCCCTGTCTTCCTTGGAGGCTGCTGTCTTGAGGACGGCACTGGCGCTTATGTAACCAGCTACAGGGCACCTACCTGGCGCTAAGGTCCCTTTCCGTTGGTCTGGTGGGTTCTTCCTGACACCTTCCAGCTTGACAGGGATGCTGCGGCGCGAATACGTGTATTCGGTAAAGCTCAGAGACAATTTCCAACGACTAGCTGACATGAACCATCCCGCGTCCAATCAAGCTTCCTTTCGAGATGAGAGGCGATGCTAAGCTTCAGGGTCTTGCACTGCCACCCATGCCTGGATAGTTCCGTCGACCGAAGCTGGACCGGTTCCTGGCGATGCATTCTCTCCTTCACCACTCGTTCGGCGGCTTTGTGATCTGTTGGTCTGTCAATGGAGCCGGCGCCAGAGCCCGCCTTGATCGAGGATGAATATGACAACACCCTTGCCTGAATCTCGCGTTGCCAAGTATCACCAGATCCGGCATCACAAAAAGTCCAGGCGAGGATGTCTTGAATGCAAGACCAGGCGTGTAAAGGCACGTTTGCCCTCGCATCGCAACCAGGCGAACAGCAACAAATCACTAACACGTTGTCCGTAGTGTGACGAGAAGAAGCCGACATGTTCAGCATGCGCAAGGCGAGAGACACAATGCCATTACATGGAGCCAGGCCTCCGAAGGCCCCCTGGGCAGGAGAAGTCCGGCACTGGCAGTCCTCAGACAGACACCGACGACGCATCCGCCAACCATCGCCAGCCGTCACCAAGCTACGAAACCATCTACACCCCAGAACACTTGCTGCACCTTCGCCTCCTGCACCACTACAACACCTGCACGGTACAGTCCTTCACCGACGCCTTCCAGCTCGAGGGCTTCAAGTCGGAGGTCCTCCGTCTTGAGGTCCCGAGCCTGGCCCTCCAGCACCACTACCTTATGGACGCCCTCCTCTCCGTGACCCTCCTTCACCTGGCCAGCACAGACTCGTCCACTGACCTCCCCGTCACCAAGTACCGAGACCGCGCGGTGAGGCAGCTTCGGCAGCAAGTCGAGCAGGTATCAGAAGACAACGCCCGGCCCGTTTTTATGGCCTCACTTTTGCTGTCCGTGACTGCCCTCGCAGCCGATCGGCACACGGGCTATGATGGAATCTGGCTTACGAACTGGCTTGCAATGGCCATCGGGCCGCGGATGATGATCGATGGACTCAGGAAACAAGTGTCGCTCCGCCCCACGCCGCAGAGGAGTATACCGCTCGAGCACGCTGCCCCTGTAGCGATTCCAATGGATCTGGAAGATGCCCTGCGGATGGACGAGGACGACGAGGATTGGGAGTTTCGCGAAGACCTCCAACGTGCGGCTCTCGGGATTGGGAAGCTGTTTGGCTCGTTGGCTTGTCCTACCTGCGATGGCTGTGTGGCATTCAAGGCCAGGGCGTGGCCATTCTCGTTCGTCTCGTCGAGGTTTGTGGACATGGCTCGTCAACTGAGGCCCAGGGCTTTGGCCGTGATGAGCTACTACCTGCCCTTCTTCCACTGGTTTCCCAAGGTTTGGCTTTACGAGGACGTGGCTGTCCAGGAGATGGAGAGGATTGCTTTAGCGGTCGGGAGCGAGTGGGCTACGCCTTTGGCTGCCCCAAAGGTTGCTGTTAGGGTTAAGGATACAAGCCTCTTGAAGGAGTACCTTCTTGGGCTTGTGTCCCGGGAATGTCTTCGAGACGAGAGTGCTTTTGAAGGATTTGTCTGATTATGGTTGATAGAACCGAGCAATCGGGAAACAAAGGAAAGGTATGTATTATCTAATGTTCAGGAGTACCCCTGATTCTAACGTGGGCGGTTCAAAATCAGAAACCGACGAGACTTCTAGATACGGCTACTAGTCATACAGCCCAAGCTTGCTCGCATAGCTGGTCATGGCGGGGTACTGTATTCACAGCACACCTCCCAGGAACATCAACCATCCATATTCTGCATGGCCATAATCTCCTTTTTGCCGGGCACATACTTGGCGGGGTGGAAGACCGCCGTAACAGCCGCGACACCGAGCATCAACAGCGCGTCAAAGATGTACAAATACACCTCTGTCGAGAGAAGGACGCCATCGTTCCCTTCGACATACTCGACGAGTCGAAACAGCGATCTCACGAAAATCAGACCGCTTGCGACGTAGAGCACGCTCATCACTCCCCTCCATCCTCTGATGTGCCTCTGCCAACCCGAGTTGGCTTCTTCGTGCAGGACAGCGGGCGGCACGCGGTCCAGGAGTCGACGATGGAACACGGCGGCCGCCACGACGAAGAGACCAAAGAAGATGAGCTGGACGGCCAGGCCGAGCAGGATAATGGTCTTGCCCGTGTTCATCGAATTTGCCTGGGCGAGCAGACCCGCGCCCATGACCTGGACGAGGAAGGAGAGGACGTCGCCGACGACGAAGATCTTTGTGAGGCGCGAGGGCTTTATCGGGGAGAGGGGCGCGCATTGGAGGTAGAGGATCAGACGGCCGAGTACCATGTAGATCGAGGCGGCGAAGAGGGCGGGAGCGACGAGGAGGCAGAGGGTCTGGATCATGAAGAAGCCGAGATTTCCCGTATCGGTGGAGGAGAGGAAGCGGCCTAGATATCCCGCGATCTCGACTGATGGAAATGTTTGTTAGTGGTGATTTGAGGTTGTGTGGCCAGTATGGGATAACGTACGGAGACAGCCGATGATCAAGGGGATAAAGTACCATGCCCGCCGGCGGACGATGATAAATACGTGCCATGCGCACCCAACGACGAAGCCAATCAAGAAGATCATGGCAGCCGCCCCTGAGGGAGAGTACTTGTAGAGGTTGTAGGATGCCATTGTCGGGTTCTGGAGGGAGGAGGACTGGCGTGTAAGTGAGGTTGCGAAGACGGAGCCAAGGAGTAAAGACTGGATGATTTGAATCTATAGACTGACTCTTGGAAGCACAAAAAAGAAAAGCAGCGTTATATACAAATATTCCATTCGAGAACTTTTCACCCCATCCTACAAGTTCCACCGCATCTCTCCCTATCTCGTCAAGCAGCACCATCTCGCATCTCGCACTTCGCATTTCGCACTTCGCATTTGGCTATCGACACGGTGCAGTCGCTAAAGTCCACACGCATCCCACGCTCCTCATCGGCCCTTTCCGCCCCACCACGGAGTATTCCATTGCATTGCACCACAAACGGGGAGGCTATGTTTGGGAAAAAGCCCAGTTTGAAGGATGGGGGCCAGTCTCTACAGCAGAACCCATCCTGTACGCATGAGATTGCGTTGTGGGGAGAGGCTCTACACTCTCCCAGTGTAAAGACCCCCGATACAGCGTATCAGGACGTCCAGCACGCCTAGTGAGTCCATGTACGCTAGCAAACTCAGCCCCTCCGGTGCCCGGGGTTCATCTGAAGTCCCGGGCTTGCCCAGCGCCCAATTGGACTTACCTAGGTATGTAAACTTCTGCCCACATTTTCAAGGCGTCGCCTCAGACCTCGCTTTCGCATTACAAGACCGAGGGCTGAAAGCATGATCCTTTTTCTCCCACCCCATCACTTCATCCTCACCCCCTGATATCTCACACGTTGAACAATGATGATAATATAAGCAAGAACGCGCTGTCGAAGGAGAACTGACACATACCGGCAGTACGGCACACCCACCACACACACCACACATATACGACTCATATACGACACCTGAATATGAACCGCCGTGCTCATAAAAAGTCGAGGAACGGCTGTGTTGAGTGTAAACGCAGGCACATCAAGGTGAGGATTCCCATGAGGTTACCTCACAACAGCCCACGAAATATAGCTTTGCCTTTACTGACATGAAGAACTCAAGTGCGATGAAACCCGCCCCAAGTGTAAAAACTGCACCATCATCGAGCGGGACTGCGTATATAGGACGCCGCCCCCGGCAGCGGTGCCCGCAGCAGTCCCCGCGGTAGCACCCGGGATCGGCGGCGCTGAGGGTGGTGCCGAAACTTTCCCCTCGGGTCCGAGTACGCCGTCCAATACCGCCGGATGCTCACCCTTTGCCGACGGCTCCTCCGGGACGCCGGCGCAGCAGCAGCAGCAGCAAGGCGTGTCGCCCCTCGCGTTCCCGGACCCCTCCGTCATCCGCTCCGGGCCGCAGGTCAACATGGACCACATGGAGCTCCTCCTCACCTTCAAGCTCGAGCTCATCATCCCGGAAATCGACGAGCACCTCCGCGAGTGGGGCAGCCGGATCACGCTCAAGGCCGGCGTCGACGCCCCCTACCTCATGCACGAGATCCTCTCCGTCTCGGCGCTGTACCTCTCCCGCGCCAGGCCCGACCGCAAGCAGTACTACACGGAGCAGGCCGTCCAGCTGCAGATGGAGGCCATCTCCCTCTTCAACTCCTCCACGACCAGCAGCTTCGACATTGACGACTCCAACTGCGTGCCCATCACCATGTTCACCTCCCTCCTCGGTCGCCACCTCTGCATCGACGCCCTCGCCACCCCCGCCGCCGCCGGCCTCGACGCCTTCCTCGACAGCTACCTCAACTTCGCCCGCCTCCGCCAGCGCGGCGCCCACGTCATCCGCAGCGCCCGCGCCGCCCTCGAGAGCTCCGAGCTGCGGCCCTTCCTGACCTGGGGCCCGGGCCTGCAGGACCTCATCGGAGAGGGTCACGCCTGCGACGGCCTGCAGGAGCTGATCTCCGCGGCGACGACCCTCGACGCCACGTCGGCCGCCGCGTGCAGGCGCGCCGCGGAGCTGATCCAGGTGTCCTTCGACAGCTGGGAGAACCGCGGCAGCGTCCCCGGGCAGCAGCGCATGGTGCAGATGATCTTCACGTGGGCGTTCCTCGTGCCGGAGGAGTTCGTCGCCATGCTGAGCGGCCGCCGCGCCGAGGCCGTCGCCGTGCTGGGGTACCACGCCGTCATCCTCCACTTCGCGCGGGACATGTGGCAGATTGGCGCCGCCGGCGCGCAGCTGCTGACCGCGGTGGGGGAGCACCTCGGCCCCGGGTGGGAGGAGTGGCTCGCGTGGCCGCGCAGCGTTGTCTTTGGACAGACATGAAGAAGCCTCACGGTTTTGGGGAGAGAATTCCCAAGTGGATCTTTGGCATCAAACCGGTACTAAGCCGCTGACGGCGCAGAAGCTTGTGCCAAGGGCCAAGGCGCTGGTCCGTCCCTCGTGACGCAGGACTCCCGACGGTCCTAGGGAAATGGGGGTGCATTCAAGATGCCTTCCGTGACCGACGGCGGGGTGGGAGGACCATCTCGAAGCACTCTGAGCCTTGGCCTAGTCAGGCTGAAGCGAGTGCACGCGGTGATGGCCAGACGAGCGCATTCGACGATGGCGGCGGCGGATTGCGAACGACGAGTGCCTCGGCTTTGAAACAAGTCGTGGCTGTTGAGAGCGCAGCATCCGTCACGCGCGGCCGCTCAGGAGAGTGTGTGGAACGATAGGCACAAACATCAAGGCCCATCGGTGGTAAAGAGACTAGGTTTCCTGAGCCATCAACGCCATGAGTCGATAAAGATCGACTGGTGAAAGGGATTCCAGTCGCTGTCTATGAGCGTACTGTTAGCCACTGGTCATGTCACCAGCAACACGATTGTTTGGGGACGCTCCAGCTAGATAGATCAGACGGATTGATCGGCACTATATGTCAGAGCTACCCATAGTTCTCTGTTGACAAGCCAGAGATCTTGCAAGGAGGAGGAAAATATGATTTTAACGCTGCATGCTACGCTAAAGACTACCCCTGAATGATACTCAAACCGATGAGCTCAATTTAGTAAACCTTCTTGGTGATCCTCACAAGGATCACACTATCCGTCAACTTGCCGTCACAATCCATCAGATGAACGAAGCGGAATCCGCCCCTCAAACGGTCCAGTCTCACAGCCGCCCACGCAGCCAAGTCGTCCCGTCCGATCTCGTCGTCTCTAACGGTGAATCTCACAAATGTCAACTCCTCCACGACGCCTGGCACGCCCGTGAATTTGAGCTCCTCGCCCTTGAAGTCGGGGTCGATACCCCTGTTGGACTTGGTCTTGGCCTTGTACTCGCCCTCCTGCTCGTGGCCGTCGTTCTTGATGTGCGCGCCGGGCAGGCGTTCCTCGGGGGATTCGACGTGAATCTCAACCTTGACGTAGGGCTTGAAGCCGGAGACCTTGGTGTCGCCAGGAGGAAGAGGGAGGTTTTGGGCAGCCAGGACGTCGATTTGAAGGTCAAGGGTCTTGTATGCGATCTGCGGCACGTCTTTTGCCGCGTCGGGGGCAGGTGGCGGTGAGCCGGCCTTGATACAGCGGTAGCCTGTTCTCATCATTAGCATAACATCACACTACTAGACAAGAGGAAACTCACCCTCGGGCTTCAAAACATAACCAGACGTGCCCGCGAACATGGCCTCATTGAGCATCATCCCCTCGTCCCAATTCTGCCAGTTGAGCGCAACAATCTGGATGCCCCTGCGCCAAAAGACAGGAGCGTCTAGGTTGGAGGACCCGATACGCAGGCCAGAAGGATAAGCCCTCATCAGGTAGTGCCTGTTGTGGTGGAATAGAATTTCGGGCTGCTTCTCGTGGACCTCCATAACGCCCTTCTCCGACAGCGAGAAAATGTGCGTTGGCATCGACGCCTCAGGCTGCGCGAGTGACTTGAACGAGACACCCCGTGTGTAGATGCCCAGCCTGCTCAGTGCCTGAATAATCTTGGACTTTTTCTTGTTCGCGGCGGCAGCCTTCTGGTGAGGGGCTTCACCAGCTGCCGCGTCGTCACCCTCATCCGATTCCACAGCGTCACCCGTCGGCGGTGCGTACTTGACCTTTACCAAGATCTTGCCCTTTAGGTCCGCCGGTCGTGGCAGTTCTGCAGCGTCGACGTCAGGTGTCGGTATCAACAGGTCCGTCCAGCAGTCTTGCATAATCTTCACCATGACCTCCTGTTGTTGTGCGCTACAGTGAACCTCCAGGCTGACAATCAGGGGCGTGTCCGACGCGACAAAGCCATAATCGCGAATGGTCTCGCAAACGTGGCGGAAGGGGACCTCCTTGGTGAGCGTGTATCCGTGGAACACTTGAGGCTCGATGCCGTATGGCCTAGGTGACGGCGTCTTCACCAACTCAACCTCCAGCCCTTCAGCGGGCGGACTTGTCGTAGTTGTTGCATCCGTTACCGGCTTCATGGTTGTTGCATCCGTTGACGGCTTCGTAGTCGTTGCATCCGCTGCCGACTTCGTTGTAGTTGCCGCCGCCGCCGCAGGCGGGCTGGTGCCCTCCTTCTTCTCGATCCTCTCATCCATCTTCTTCCCCAGAGACGTCTTCTCGAGCCTGCTGGACAGTGAACTCGGCATCTTATCCTTGAGCCTCGACAGTCGGCTCTTCTTCACCTTGGTCCCGGCAGCAACCTCCTCATCGCTGCTGCTGACCGAGGTGCCATCCTCATTATCGGAATCATCGCCGTCCCAGACGTCAATCTCGATGCATCGGCACCCTCTCTGCAACACGTTCTTGTAGGCATGCGTGCTCGATTCACTGTACAGCTGGTTTCCGGTAAGATATGTGTTGTGGCTGGAGCTGATGAAGTAGCTCGACAGGGGGTAGGTCAGGTCCGTCTCTACAACAGGGCGTGTGATGGCGGAGTGAGAAGAGGTCATGTAGTCCAGGAAACCATTAAAATCCAGCTCCTTGTCCGAAACGCCCTCGATCGCCTTGAGATGCTCAAGGGCTTCCTCGTCGGCTTGGACGTTCTTGACAAAGGATGCGATCTGCTCCTTGTGCCATTTCTGATCGTCCTTGCTGGCGTGGACGTTGAAGATCTTGGTGAGGTGAGGCAGGATAGACTCGTTGAGTGACTTGACGGTGCGGTGATGTTCGCTGGCGCCGCCGCCTGCCTGGGGCGTGGAGGTGCCCGTTCCCGTGGGGGACACCGTCGGTTGGGTTGTGGTTGCGGTTGCGGTTGCTGCTGCAGCGTCCGCCATGGCTAGTGTCGATGTTGAAGGAGCAAAAAGAGGCGGTGAGGTTGGCGATGATGAGTGAAATAGGTTGTAGGGTCTAGGGAGAGGACGAACGAGTATCGCAGGCAAGTGAGACGCCAGATGATGCAAGCAGGCTATGAGATACAGGACGCGTCTCGTATGCTGGTGTCAGTCAACCAGTAAGCGTGGTTGAGCCGCGTGGTCGACGTCAAAAAAGAGATCGTCTTGTTTTGTTTGAACCTGAGCCCGGTTTTTTTTTTATAACATGTGGCAGTACGTCAACCCGCCAAGCAGCGATACGTGGGAGAAGAGGACAGAGGAATCTTGTTTCCCGACCCGCTCCTTTCGTAGTGCACAAATTGCAACCGAGCGACGATCCAAAGGTGCTCAGCTGGGCGGCAAGGGTCACAGAGGGAAGGGTCGAAGCTGAGTGGTTCCTCATGTGAAGTGTCCCCTGGTGATGCTGCCCCCCTCCCCTGAGCTGTCGGGGTCACGACGTGTGGTTATGGCGTCACAGGGTTCTGGCCTAGCCGATCTTTAGCGGTAACAGGCCCCCGGTCCAGCCCAGACCGCTGGGCTCTAGCTAGGTAGCTTCTCAGCTGGGCTCTGTCCTTTGGGGGCGATATTAATAGCGAAGCCCCTTATCGATAGCAACGACCTGGACACGATGGAACCCACGACCCCGCCAAACCCCTTCCTCTACCCCTCATTTTAGTGCCGGAATGTCGGTCTGGCATCCTTGCACCTGAAACCTCTGGTATCTCTCGGACCTGTGGTCGTCGTATGTGAAAGACGATTAGTTTGTGGTGATAAGTTATCGTGATAACTATACAATTGGCATTTGACTCGTTCACTTTGGTCTGATGTTGGAATGACGCCAAGGTCTCGGAACTGCTTCCCGACGAGCATGAACTTGCAAAGTGCGAGGAACGGGCCGCACCCGTCGTGTGTGGGCCAAACTCATGCTCAGGTCGCCTTCATCCCGGCTCTCTCATGTGCTCTCCATTTGGGTCTGTTCATGTTCCCGGAATGCTAATTCGAATGTCGTTTATTCGTAATGTATCGCTCATAAGTGTCGTCAGGTCGTAAGGCGTGATAGTGACAGTATGTACATATCCATCCACCACAACCCCCCTCGCCTCTGAATGTTAATGTTATCGTACCAAGAAACTCACCCATTATTTCCATACTTCCTCCTCTTCTTTCTCATCTTTTTTCCTGCCGTCTTTCTATCCATGTCCCTTTTTCTTCGCAGCTATTGCGCCGCCGCCCCTCCTCTCGCTTCTCTCATTGCTTCTGCTTCCTATTCACCAGTCAACTTCTCTCCCCCAAAACACCTCTCACGGCCGGATTGGCGATGTTACTGACGTCCACGTATTGGCCTTGCTCATCGTCCGCTTCCTCATCATGGCCATAATGTCCGCCTCCATGTGCTCGATGTTCTTCTCCAGGTCGGCGTCCTCGACCGCAAACTTGCCTTCCCGCCGACGGTCGAACATGATCCATCCAACGACGATGACGACGGTCAGGGGTATCGTGATTGCAAAGTAGACCCAGAGCGATTTCGAGATGACGGGATCGGCGTCTTTGGCGAAATCAAAGAACGTCATGCTAAAGACCGAGGCCAGGAAGGTGCCCGGCAGGAACACCGCACCGAGCAGCGAGATCGTCTTCATCGCCGTGCTGTCCCTCTTGCTCGCGTGCGCCAGCCGCCTCTGCTCACCAGCCATCTGAAACTGAATCTTTGACTCTCGCTGGGAGAGCAAGTTGTACAGCTGTCCCCGAGTCAGCACATCTTACCCGCTCTCCAGGGAGGCAGAACACATACCGCGCTTCGCTGGATATGGAGTCTCTCCAACGTGGTCGCCTGGTAATTCTCGATGCCCTTCAACTTTATCTTGTAAAAGTCCAACCGAGCGTTCATGCTACGGTGCAGCTTGTGCAGCTCTACCGTGAACTTATCCATCGGCACCTTGTGCTTGAAAAGCGCCATCGCAGACTCAAGCTCCTTCACGACCTCCCGATACGCCTGCGGCCGCTTCCACAAGACCTGGCTGTGGCACTCGACCAGGTCCCGGCTGATGGCGTCGACTTCGAGATACCCGTCCTTGCTGACGTACCCCTCCTCGTCCTCGATCTCGTTGCGCATGCTGACGGCATGCTCCAGCCTGCGCAGCCAGTCTCGCGCATCGCGCTGCTTCTGGTCATTCTGCGACGAGAGGTCGTGGGAGAGGATAATGACGGGGAGCAGCATCGGGTGGCCGACCTGCTTTGCGCAAAAGCTGAGGTGGCGGATAGCAGCCACAATGTCGGAGCTCGGGGTGCCCTTGACATACCCCGACGTGATGCCCGTCTTGAAACGGTGTGACAGCATGATCTCCCATCCTCGGGTTTTGCCCTTCTTTCGCACGTCGGACTTGCGAAAAATGATTTCTTGGGTTGAAAACGTCAGTGAAAGACGCAATGAGGGGAAAAGAGAAGAAAAAAAACTCACGAAGCGTCGGGTCGTCGTCTTCCTGGTCGTAGGCGGACCAGAAAAAGGGACCGACGACGCTGGTCCCCTCAATCGCCCTGTAGGGCAGCCTCATGGCTCTTACCATGGACTCGTAAGCGTCTGCCGTGAACGAGATTGTATGAGGGGTGAAAGTGTCTTTGTGCTTGGCGTTCTTCTGAAGTCTGTTCCAAAGTCAGTCTCTCTTACCCCCAGGTCTCAATTGAGAGAGTTGCCAACACTAAACGAATGCCACTCATCAACTCGACTCCCTCCTTCACTTTCGGCGGCTCGAATGCACCCTGAAACGAACACAGCGTCAGCCCAACACGGCGCTCATCACGCGTTCCGGACAGTCTTGTGACTGGGCCCGGCGTACTTACCCGTCGATACAGGAAGTTGTCAAACTCATCCATTGTCAGAGGATGCTCCTCGCACGAGTCGTAAAACGGATCCTGTTCAATTGGCTCAGTCTCAACCCACACGATGTGTCTCCGGTCTCATCGTCAAATTCCTCCAGACCAGACAGCCTTGCTCTTACCGAATAATTGAGTATCTCAACATAGTGCGTCGCCTCGGTGACTTGGCGGCACTTGCTGACATGCTCGCGGAACATGTAGTCGTCCATCTTGAACCTTCGAATCCTCTCTCTCGATTGGCCGTTCAAAACAAACTCACCAATCTCTCAAGAGACGAACAGAAAAGCCAATGAAACAGAACCACGGCTACGCCAAAGGAGTTAAGGGGAAAAGAGTTTTGTAGGTTCCTGCAGGTCGTCCATCATGGCTCCAGACGGACTCCTTTCATAAGCCGCGCCCAGCCCCGTGACTTTCCGCCATGTCTGCAGCACAAGCGGTCGGGGGAACGGGTCCAGTCCGGTCCATCATCCATGGATCCAATGCAATCTGCACCTCGAAGCCCCCCTGCCAATTGGCCGGGAACACCACCCACAGCGCCCTCGCTCACTGGACGTCGCCCTTCCACAGCGGCCTGCGCAGGGGATTTTGGCGGGCTTCCAATGTCGCCTACGAAAAGCTTGTAGCGTCCCTCATGGACACCGTCCCGCTGCCCTGGCCATAATCCCCGCACTCCACCCTGTCACCGCCAGAACGAACCGTTGCTCCCTCTGCATTAATAGGCCCGGATAAGAACCCATTGGAGCTTGTTTGGACGCTTGGCTCACGGTTGCGTGGGGGTGTGTCCCCTCTAGTGCGGTGAATTGGAGCTGGACGTCGAGAATCCAACCCGGAGCACGAGAGAGACGCGCAGAGATGCAACTCAGCACGCACGTATCCCATGTCCGTCATCAGCATGTGCTGCTTTGCGGTTAGTAACTTGTGGTAACCAAATGCCGTGGCTAATCCATCTGGAGCTGTTCCTGCAGTGGTCTGATCCCGCGGCCTAGGTAGTCAAAAGGTCTAGACCTCGTCCTAGTCCACTAAACGGGATGTGGAAGATAATCGCTGTTAGGTATTGATGTATCCAAATAATACGGCGACGAGTCTCGTCTTGTTGCACTTTTCCATCTTCCAGGTCCTTTGAAGCCTCCAACCGACCCCCCCGTCATTGCTTTCCTATCCATTTTCCAAACCACCAACCAGGCGCCCAAAACNCCGACCCCCCCGTCATTGCTTTCCTATCCATTTTCCAAACCACCAACCAGGCGCCCAAAACAGTGCAGACATGATTTATGAGACCCCCAGCGTCTGCCAAGCGCCTCATACTCTTCGAGCGCTATTCGCAGACCAGAACATGCGTACACGTTCACATTACTAGGTCGAATTTGATCCAAGAGACATATTAGAAGTCGGTGAATAGATGGCCATATCTGAAACCGCACGTTAGCAGAACCCCGGACCATTCGGGACAGAGAAACCCACTCGTCATGCCCGTTTGTGCCGTAGCGTTCGGGATCCTCAGGGTATCGGTCAAATTGGCTCGCGTCGCCGGCGCCGGCCTTGACCGGGGGCGTGTACGGCGCGTCAATGTCCTTGCGCGCGAGCCTGTCCCAGGTAACCTCGGTGAACCAAGGGTGGTTTTTCACATCGCCAGGACCGCCGTATAGGTTACCCAACCGCTTGGTGAGATCGGCCGTGATAAGCTTCTCCAACAAGTCCTGCGCGTCGGGGTTGATATAGGCCGGGTATTTCACCTTGCCCTTGAGGATGTTTTCGTAGATCTTCATTGGCGACCCGCTGTCCCAAAACGGTGTGTACCCGCACAACATCTCGTATATCAAAATACCAAGAGACCACCTATGCCAGGATCAGCATGTGAAAATGACTCTCCACGCCGGCCACACAAAAACAAAACAGAAACTCACCAATCCACGGATTTGTTGTAGCCCTTGTTCGAGACAACTTCGGGAGCCAGGTAGTCTGGCGTACCGCAAAGTGTCCATGTCTTGTCTGGCACTCTCTTGGCGAAACCAAAATCTGTTATCTTAAGGTGTCCATGCCGGTCGAGCAGCAAGTTCTCGGGCTTGAGATCTCTATAGATGATGTTTCTCGAGTGCAGGTACTCGAGCGCTAACGTGACTTCGGCGGCGTAGAATTTCGCAACGGGGTTCGGAAATCGCTGAGAGATCGCGTTAGCTCAATCATGGACGACATGGTTTCTTTTCGAACTTCGCATACCCCCGATTTCCTCAGCAGCGAGAAGAGTTCACCACCTTCAACAAAGTCCATCACCATGTACAGGTTCTTGGAATCCTGAAACGTGCCCCATAACGTGATCAAGAATGGGTGCTTGACCTCGCCCAGCATGCGCCTTTCGTCGTTGGTATGTTCGACCTGCTTCATCTTGACGACCTGCGCCTTCTTCAACACCTTGACGGCATAGAAGCGCTGGTTGTGCTTGGATTGCACAAGGTGCACTCTTCCGAAACTACCCGTTCCAAGCGTCCGCAGAATATCAAAGTCTTGCAGCGTGTATTTCCCCTTGGTCTGTCGGACCGCGTCTGCAGCTGCCTGCTGCTGCTGTTGCTGCTGCTGCATGCTTTGCTGCTGTTGAGGAGCGTGTAGCATCGATTGCTGCTGCTGTTGTTGGAGGCGCGAGGGATCGGTACCGGGGCTGGGATTGGGTTGAGGGGCTTGCGGTTGCGCTAGGTATTGGCCGTTGTTGGCGGCACCGTCATGCTGGGGCGGGTTGATGAGGTTACTGATGCTCGGGAGGTTCTGCTGGTCGGCTTGGTTGTTGTTGTAGTGAGGCTGGTGGGGTGCCGATTGATTAGGCGGATGGACGGTGACGGGATACATCTGCTGGTGTTTTGCGGCCTCGAAAGAGGCCGAATCCTCCTGCTTCTGTCCCTGGCCGTTGGAGGACAGGGAGGAAAGAGTGGTCGAGATGGAACTGTCGAAGGGCTTCGAAGAGGTAGGCGTCACTGGGCTGGTGGGTAAGCTGGCGCCCTGAGAGTCTTGATTGCCCTCCCTCGTCCGTTTTTTCTTGAGAAAGCCGAGGGTAGGCATGGGGATGTCGGAGAGGTTAGAAGGGCTGCTTGCCCCTTGGAGAAACGGCGGAAATGCGCAGGCGCAGGTGTCGGGGCCCACGACGTTTGCAAGATGGGTATGGGGAAGGAACGGTCGCAAAGTGATTCGTCGATTCAAGGGACAGCCCGGTTGGGTTGTTGGGTGAGCAGCGGCGCGGGGGAGGGAAAAAGGGCCACGGGGGTCAGTTGCGACTACTCAAGAGGGCAAGCCGGAAGCCGGGCTACGCTGGCAATATTGTCGTTAGGAACAATGAGGCCTAAGTCGGCGCATTCTTTGGCGGGAGGGAAGGGACAGATGGGAACGTACAGAGTTGCAAGTTTGCGAGAGTGCGGTATTACAAGAAGCGGCAGTCCAGGTCCGGCGGCAGTGGCAGTGGCAGCGGCAGCAACGCGCAGTCAAGGTAGGGAACCGGCCAGTTGGCAGTAATTGCAATTAGGGATTGCAACGGGAACCTAGGGCGGAGCAAGCGGGAGCTTCTATTTCTTGGAGGCTGGGCAGAAGAATGGTGTAAGTTTACGGTGCAGGTAGCAAATGTAACCAATAAGCAACGGGTTGCAAGGTCAAAGGGTTGGTTGATACACGGCACGCGGCTCCAGGAGCAAAGTAAATGTGAGCGTGAGAGCGCGACAACAAAGGAAGAGGGGAGATTCTGGGCAAGACGAAGCTGGGTAGGTAGGTGGAGGAGGGGGAAACGAACAGATGATGAATTGGTCGCCGTGTTTTGGGAGGGGGGTTGGTCCTCTCAGTCTCTCTGGTATGGGGATGCTTCGGCGGAATGAATGCAAGGACTGCAAGGTGGGATTCTGTCTTGGTTTCTTTTTTTTCTCTCTCAGTCGGAAGCGACAGATGGCTCGAATCGAATGACGAGGCAGCTCTCAGTGTGAGGCGTCAGATTCGGCTGTTGCGTCTGCGACTGCTGCGTCTGCGGATTCGTCTGGCGTCTGCTGGGATCTCTGGGCCGGGCCAACAGGAGCAACGGGATCTCTTGCCTCCTTCTGTATGGATGAAGGATGGTGGGCGGAGTAACTAAGGTAGGAGGCGCCGGGACGGTGACTGAGTCGTTGCGCGCACCGATAACTGGGGACAAGATGGGACCAAAGATTAAGTGACAGCTGTTGCCCTCAATTGATTGTATAGATGACACGGGGTTGATGGCGACGAAGCTGAGTTGTTGAAGATATCGAGAGCTGAAGTTGGTGTAGAAGGAGACGAGAGCAGAGGAGGGGAAGAGAAAGAAAAAAAAGCTTGACCAGTAGCAGGCGAGGGAGGTCGAGGCCGATGATGATGTAGGAAGTCGTGCTTTGGCTGCTTAAGGCGGCTGCGGGAGAGCTAAGGAAGGTGGAATTGTGTGAAAGGTACCGGAGGTGGTCGCTTCTGGCCGTGAGGTGGTGGATAAGGTATGGATGGATGCTTGCTGTTGGCGCAGGGCGAGAGGGCGTGCGTGTGGATGCAGCCGTGGCGGAAGAGGTACTTTGTAGCGGTGGTTCAGACTCGCGGGTCGACGCCCACGTTTAGACGGGAACGGCGTGGCCACCTTCCTAGCAGTACCCAAGGCACAGCGAATACCTCACCTTGGGTGCCTTTGGACAGAACGAGAAGTCAAAATGCCAATTGGACATGCCGAGGACGGTTCAATTGAGGTTGCCTTAATCTGGCTTCTATAGTGGTCACCATCATGCCCAGCACATTCATCCCACGGCTGCTTTCTGCTAGCTACGTAAGGTAGATAGGTCGGTAGGTACCTTTACGTTAGGTTAGCTGTGAGGTCGAGGTGGTGGTGACCAGCCAGCCCAGCAAAGGTGGGGTAGGGGCAGCCAAGTAACCTGACCTGAATCTCGACGGGTCACAGTTGCAGCGCCAGAGACATTTCCGACCTGCGTGACCTGGCCGGGCCCTCGATGATTGACTCGAACTTCATCTTGCCCCGGATAACAATTGCTGTTTTCTGCTACTCCTTTCAATGTGCGGGCTGCTTGCCTACACAATTCGCGTTTGATCAATGAATGCGCAAGCACTACACGTGAAGCACCGGCCAAGATGAGCTGCAAGACCATGACCATGACCCCTCATCATGGAAGCACTGGGATTAGAAGGTCAGGTACGCGACCTCGCCTGAGGGACACAGCTGCCCTCGCCCACTAAGGTGCCCTGCTCCCCCAACTTACCTGAAAAGAAGTGGAAAGGAGACGTCAGGACATGGCTCCTGCACTTTCGCTGCTTGCTTGCACTTGCACGTTCACTGGCTCTTGCTTCACCCGACGACCCCTCCTCAGCTCAGCTCACCCACCTTCGACCTCCACGAAAAGATACGTACCCCGCTGCAACCTCGCCTCTAACCTCCCACCTCCTGTCACTTCAACCACCACCACCACCACTACCACTCCTCCATCTGCGACCATCACGCTACGCCCAGAATGTCTTGGACGATACCCTTTCACGTTCCCGTCACTCGTCGTCCTCCTCCCACCCGCACTTGTCAGCGATCGTCCACCACCCCCCATTGAGCCCCTCATTCCATCGATGATGGCCCATCCTCGCAAAGTCTCGCCATTCTCGCCGCACCGCTACCGTCTTGCTCTACCGAAACCTTAACCAACCTGAGCTCTGAGCTGTCCGCAAGCTTGTGCAAGCAAATCAAGTATTTGACCCTCCCCGCAGATTGCAGTCCTGTCTCCCAGCCACTGCTTCCCAGTGAGACATAACGAGACGCTCGCCCTCCCAACAGCAAGCAACAAGACGCCCGCGGAGACAGGAGGCATCAGAATTCCCCACCCAAACAGGACGCTTTCTTCTCCTCCCGGCCCTCGCTGCTGACAGTCCAGTCCCGGAAACCCGGATCGACCACCAAGTCTCCCCAGTAATAAGCAGACCAATAAACAATCCGTCCGATGGTCCCTGGCAGTTGCCGGCCAACGCAGCTGGAGATTCCCGAGACTGACATGCGCCGCCGGGAACGGCTGTCATCCGGGCACCGATTCCTCACTTCCCCCCCACCGTCTCGATCCTGATTCCGCCGTAACCTCTTGACTGCAAGCAGCACGTTGAAACCGGGGTCATTGCCTGGTTCCAAGATCCCAACAAGCCGATCCCAGCAATGGGGAACCAAGGATCCGAACATACCGCGGCCCTGCCCTGCCCTGACTATCTCGGTTGTTGCTTTTCCAGTCTTTCTTTGGATATGCCGAGAAAGCTGTGGCCGACGTGTGTGGCGGGAGCTTCCCCCCGGCATGAGCCACATAACGGTGACCTGTCAAGATAACGATAAGCCGAAGCCACCCCATCATCCCGTCTACAAAGCCTGCCTGAATTGCAGCATCGCGGGATTGCTTCGAACGTCTTGCTCGTAGCGCTTTGGCCGTCGGCAATGTTGCTACAAACGTTGAGAATCATCGGCATACCGATTCACTACCGATATCAAGTGTCCTTCCCGTGAAAGTGAAAACCGAAAGAACAGACGATCCTTCCCGGCCGCCCCAATTCATCCGACCAGTACTGCATTGCACCGACATTGCGCCTTTGGACCGTACAAATTTTAAACATGCCAAGTAGCCGTGCCAAAGAGGTTGCTATCCCGTAGCTTTTGCCAATTTCCCTCTAGCCTCGAACTGTATCTACCAAAATCAACAAGTCATCATGTTCTCAAGATTCGGGTCTGGAACCAATCTCGGGCGGATTACCGACGGCCGAGCGAGCGAAAAGACCGCCGCATACCTCAGTCACCCAATCGTAAAGTTGCCGGCATTGAACTTTTGCGGCGACGTACTTGCCTTCACTCACTTACTGAAGAACGCACACATAGATACATTTCCCAGACAACCATCGTATAAATACACTTGATTCATCTCAGACTGAGTATCATAAGAGACATGAGTGAGCGAAGGGGGGTTTTGTTAGAAAAAAACACAGCCTTGAATCTCATTTTTTGGTTTGTTTGACCTGCCCATGCAATGTGTGAGTGTCGTTGGTATGTACGGTCATCTCTCCTAATCCAACCAAACTCGCCGCCCCCCTCCCTTTTCGTTCGTCTTTTTTTCATCAATTTGTTGCCCACAGAGACAACCTCTTGACTTCAGAAAAAAATAAATAAACTTCCAAACCCATCATCATCACAACTCTCCTGCTTTAAAAGCGGTGTCTCTTGTCGTTCTTCGCCCTCCAGGCAGTGTAGCCAACGTAGCCACCGCCGACGAGACCAAAGAAGAGGAAGACCTTGAGGAAGAACCACGTCCAGCTGCCGCCCTCCTTGGGCTGCTTGACAGATCCGGAGCCCTTCTTACCCTTGCCGCTGCCCGGCGTCGTCTTGCTGGATCCCTTGCCCGTCTGCGTCGTGTAGAGGTTCTTGGCCTGGATCGAGATGATGTCGTGGTTGTCGCTCAGCTCGCCCGTCTCGGCGCTGAAGCCGAGGTACGCGATCTGCGGGATGGCGGGCGGGCTCTCCGTCTCGAAGCACAGCGTCCAGTCGCCCTCGGACTTGTACTGCAGCTCGAGCTTGAGCTGCTTGTCCTGGAAGTACGTCACCTTGGCCTTGGTCGGCACGCTGGCGTGGCGGATGCCGCGCGCCGAGCAGCCCGCGAGCTCCGTGCCCTTGCCGTCGTTGTCCTTGTCGTAGGCCGTCTTACCGTCACCGTACATAGCCATGACATAGGGGAACACGGTGCCGGGGCGGTTGTTCTTGTACGTATCGAAGAAGATACCGAGACCCTCAAAGTTATCCGGGCTGCCGAAGACAGTGCCCTGGGTGCCGCGAGACTTGGTCACCCACATGGCGAAGCCGTCGCCGTAGAGCTGGTTCTTGCCGTGAATCTTGAACTCGACTTCGATCTCCCAGTTGGTCGCGGTCAGAGGCACTCTGCTAAAGAGCCATCCCGTTTGCGACGGACGGTCGGACGTTAAGCGGATGTAGCTGTGGTAACCCCTTTGTTTAGCCTCTCTTTCTCTTTTTTGTTTCCTTTCTCCCCCTTTTCCTTATCCTTTGGTTA